GGGGGGGGGTTAACCCCCCCCCCAACTTTTTTAGAATTAACATATTCGGAAAATCAGGTTGGCCATTCGGAAAATTATGGCAATAATAGTATAACAAAATTTTAGTTGTTAAATAGAGGAAATATATATAATATAATTGTATTGTCAGTATAAACTGATTTACGAAATCATGGCATTTACATGGATAACATTTAACAAATCGTCGGTTTATTACTTCTCAGGGCCGTAGCAACGGGCGGGGGGCTGGGGGGTGATGCAGCCCTCCCAATAATTCGCTAATAATCATTCTTTTTTCAAAATCATGCAGACCTTTATCATTTAAATAATATACCTTTAAAATACTGACAATTGATTAACTTTAAGCGGCCACATTATCCATGGCAAACTGCAAAGAATCATATTACCCATACTTTCCTGCAACTTCTCGGTCCTCTCCAATACATAGTTAATTAAATACGCCTTCGCCCATTTAGTACTACCGAAATTGCAGGCAAATTGTAAATTTCTACATACTAATACGGTGTTTTCTGACTATCAGAATTCAGTCAAAACTTCCCCCAGAGTACAGGAAATGGCATTTCAGAGACTCTAAATTTAAAAATCTCCTCGGGCCTTCGATCTCTGCCTCCAAAGGGCCATTCCATTTAATATAGGCACCCCCCCCCCCCTATTGAGGGGTCTGGATATCCTAGGGGGGGGGGTTACCTTAAAATTTCCTAGAGGGTAGCTTAAGAAATTTTCAAAAAAAATAGCAAAAATTAGGTGTTTTAGTGATATCCAAGGGGGTAAAAACGATATACTAAAGGGGGTATAAAGAAATCCATGGGGTAACTTCCAAAAGTCGCATCCAAGGGGGTTCTAAAATTTTTATATCCTAAGGGGATTATGAAAGGACCCCTCAATAGGGGGTGCCTATATTAAATGGAATGGCCCAAATCAAAAAGAGCTTCCTACGGCACTGCATGATATACCAGATAACAAACACCTTCGTGGCTTCGTGGCTTCGTATTATAATTTTTTTCGTCATTCGGAAATTTTTGGCCTACACCCCCCCAACTATAAATGCTAGCTGCCTCCCTGCCGGTGTCCCCGAGGTGGGGGGGGGGGTCGGAAGTTTCAAAGGACTGGTGCATACAACAACATAAAGATTGCCAAAATTCATTTTTATCTCATCAATCTGCAGCAACTTGAAATTTAGCTAGACACTCCAACTGATATCATAAAACGTTGCTTGCATGGGGATATTTATATTAGCCGTCCATGCATGCAACGGTTTATTTTATACTGGGCCGAAGCAAAAGGGGACGAGGCAGTACTTTTTTTTGAGCAGGGTACACAGACTTTTTCTGCCTTGTAACTGCATAGAAGCGGGGCACAAAATTTTTTTCTGCCTTGCAAGGTGTAGCACCAATGAAGGACTGATCAAATAACTACAAGTGAGAGCAGGGGCCGCGGAACCGAGGGGATGTGCCCCCCTCCCACCTTTTTTAAAAGTGAAAAAGTGCCCTTTTTTCTGGGCTTAAATGCCCCATTTAAAGAACGAAAAAAGTATTTCTTGAATAAACGCCCTCTAAAGAAAATCCCCTTTTCGCAGTAGTAAAGACTCTGTAAAGGCCATTTCCGACGTTATAGAGACTCCATATATATTTTCAAAAATTTTCGTTCGGCTCGTGAACGTCATAAAATCGTTTGATTTTGGTAATCTACAAAAGCCCCCTCACTTTCGAAATGCTTCCGCGGCCTCTGAGTAAGAGTCCAGGGCGCGGTTTATTCTCTTTAGGAGAAGTTCAAACCCGCAGGGATCGCGGTCAGATCTCCCGGACATTTCAACGATAACTCAGGGTTTATTTTAAATTAACGTGCAGTTCTACACAAAATGTGCAGTTCTAAACCCATTTGTGCAGTTCTTAAAACTCAAATGTGCAGTCACCAAATTAACAAAAATATAACCTCAAAACAGTCTTCTCATTTACTCGTTTTCCTTGTGGTCCGTTGTGGATGCTCCAGATGCCAGAAATGCTGTCATTGAGCATCAAATATGACCACCAGACCCTCCTATTTTCCTCACAAATCACATATGTGCTGGCGTAATTGAACATGCAAGAGGTAACATTGGGGCGAGCGAAGCTATCCAAAAGAGATTAGAGCGGGCGAACCTAATATTCTTTGCTGCCTAAGGTTTATCATATATGGAGTATTCATGATTGCCAGTTAGTACATGTTTTGAAACAGTTTTTGTGGGTGGTTGGGTGAAACAAATCTTTCCCAGAACTTACTAGCCTCTAAATTCAAAATCTGAGGGGACACCCCCTACCTGTAGCTTCCCCACCCGGAATCGAGTTTGTCTGGCCCCACCCAACCACACCTTTATTCAGCCACCTATATACTAATTAAGAGTCTATCATAATTTGCAACGTTAACCATAAATTTACAACATTAAATATACTGTAGATAAAAATCCTTTGACCCCCAGTCAAACACGTGATGCTTCATCCCTAATATGTGCAGTTCTAATTTTTTCTTAAAATAAACCCTGCAACGATTTCCTTTAGCTGAACATTGTAAGCAACTCTACGGTAAGCACATCTTTCTTTACTGACAGTAGTGCGTGCCGGGCAGCAACTTTTTTTTATTTAGCAAAGTTCCGAGCGGGGCTGGAGATTTTTATCACACCAACCTAAGCGGAACTTGCTTATTTTTAACATTCAAAATTGATTTGCTCCGACAAACCTAACCAGGAGTTGCGAAAAATGCAACTATATAGTATAGGCCCTCTGACAGGAGTCGAACCTGCGATTCCAGTGCAGTCTAACCCATGCATTAAAAGAAATTTTATTACTGCACAAAAGACATAAAATAACAGCATGTCACACAGCAAAGGAGCGCTGAGTAGCTCTCAGTAGATTTGTAAATTATCCAGTTCTGTACTAGTTCACCTAAAAATTAGCACCTTTCCAATTTTTAAATCAAATTATACCAAAACAGGAACATTTTATAAATTTGTAAATGGGGATATCGGCATCACTTAACCCAGGGATCTGATGAAAAGTGAGCGAAGTAGGTGATGGCCTGGGAGTCCTTCCCCAGAAAATTGTCGTATTGTTTTAGCTCCGGAGGTTAATGTAATCAATTTCTTGCATTTTCAGAAACAATTTTCGATATATTCCATCTTCAAAGATTGAATATTAGGCCATATAGAAGAAATGTTTGGTTACGGGAATCGGCACTTTTCCTTGCTTATTTTTATAAGAAAAAGGGTACCTTCACACAATTGAATAAAAATTAAAGTGAAAACCAGCATAACTTAATGTCTTCTCTAACTTAATGTGTATTTGGCTATTACTAAATTATGTGTAATTACCAACTGAGCTACAGAGGCCAGTGGACGAACTCCAACCGCAAGGCGATGCCAATGTAAGGTGTATGGGTAAATATTTATCACTTATTTACTGAGATCGAGCGAAACAGTGTGTTTTGTGGACCAGAGACCGCCGAGATATGGATTTTATGTTCGAGTGGCAAATACAATATCTCACGAGTGAGCGCAGCGAACGAGTGATCATAAGATATTGTTTTTGACACGAGAACATAAATCCATATCTTCTTGCAACCGTTTATAACGTTCTGCTTATTAATATATGGACTTATTCAGAGTGACAAAAATACACACAAAGACGGCAAGTAAAAGCACGCGAAAGACCAGTATAAAAGCGATATTTTTTAAAATTATAGTGCAAACATAAAACTAGAATACATTTTACTTATCTTCCAAAGTTAACTTCGTTTTATACAGCTATTTCAATTGAGGTTGTCCTGCTGGGAATCGCTAATAAATTCATTCATTTATTAGCGAATCCCAGCAGCCTTTCACGCTCGTATTCGACTTTTCCGCTTTGCTTGGGGGACAACCTTAATTGAAATAGCTGTATACGAACCAAAGACCATTTGTATTTTCAAAACAACGAAAATGAAAGCGGCGGGAAATTTTCGAACCTCGTATGTTACTCGCAGGGGTGAGTGAAATACGGAAAATACGCGCACCTGGTCCCGGATGTAGTGACGTATGAGTTCTACGAGTGTTTTAGTTTCCAGCAAAACACCATTGTCCATATAATAAAGTATGTAAGTGTCAAAGTATGATGTATCATGAAATAATTCACCGGTTATTGGAGTGAACTTTGAAACCAAAACTAGATAAATGGGATTGTTGACCGCGGTTGCCCTCTCATCAAAGCAAGCAGTGAACATGACGTTTTGTGGGCCTGCACGTGATAGGGTTTTGACCAATCAGCAAACAGGAAAATTGAACCTGGACACTTGCTATATAACAACAGAATTTGGGGCATCGATACACTCGATAGAACTAATTGTGGAAGGGTTTTATAGATGGAAATTTCGAGGCAGTGTGAATTTTATACATTTATCAAACCTAATGAGGAGCAGTTGCGATTCCTGCCAGAGGGCTTATATTGTTACATTTTTCGTAACTGCTCCAGGTTAGTTTTGATAAATGTACAAACATTCACACTCGAAATTTCCATCTACAAAACCCAAAATCCTCATATTTATAATTACCCATACATACACGTATTGAGAAGAGGACGCTTGTTCATTTGAACTCTTCTATGCACCAACTGACGCAGCGAGAGGACAAACATCATTACCGGCATTATTAATTAAGATTTAATTTTATGAATTTCAGGCCAAAAGATGTTTAAGATGGTTAATATCCTTCATCTCCTAAATCCGAATGACGATTTCTAAGACCTGTTTTATCAGGGTTGGTAGGTTGCTGAATAAATAAGCCAAACATTGTTATAAACGGCCCTTTGATGCCTTTGTTTCGAACAAAGGAAACAAAGGTTATGATAATAATATTTGGCTTATTTATTCAGCAACTTACCAACCCTGTGTTTTATACAGGACGTCGAATTTCGGTCGCGTCGAATGCAATTGAAACAATAGATAATGAAGCTTAATGAGGTTTATCATCTCATTACCTATTGTCTTAATTGCATTCGACGCGACCAAAATTCGACGTATAAAACAAGCCTACGTAAGAACTGTTGTCACATTATATACTAGCGTAATCACATTGGTAAAACAGATATAGGCCAACATATAGAAGATGCACGTAGTACAACAAATATGCATTTTATATCCTCGTACCCAGGGTTTGTTTGTGAGTGTGAGAGAAAATATTAGGATGTTAGGGTTTGTAATCCAAGTGAGAATATATACATTTTAAGACCTAACCAGGAACGACTGCGAAAAATGCAGCACAAGGTCCTCTGGTAGGAAATGAACCTACTGTAAAAATTGGTTAAAACACTCAATAAATTATTTACAACCAATCCTTGGTTGTTTCAACCAATTTGTTTTTACAGTGTGAAATATTAAATTACAGTCTAGGTACACTTAAAAAATACATCTATTAGACAGATATTTTTCACAAAATGGTCCATGCATGCAGCCATGATGCGTTTCTATTTCCTCTTTCAACACACTTTTAATAAAAGGTTATAATCAAAACTATATATAGCAATAAAAATATTGGAAAATGTGTGTGAAACCAGCCTCCCAGTTTTACGCCATTAATGTAATTTTTATTTTATACCATTTTTAAGTTTTCCAATGTATATACATATATAAATAGCTTTTAATCTTTTTTAGAAAAACTAGAGGCTGATGCGCGGTCAGGATGAAACATATCACGACCGTCGAAGTCTACAGACTGGTAGTAGAAAGCTTGTAAAATTGTAATAGATGTAAAATTCTTTGGTCAAAGAGCGTCTGCATGTTCACCAAATATTTTACCTTTTTATTAAAAGTTGAAAAAGAAAAAAGAAACGTATTATGTCTTCATGGATTATTTTAAAGCTATCCAACACTTGCTTCAACAGAGAACATTAGTGAATATAGTTCTAGTAAAAAATTACTGTCTCCTTCTTCATGGACATTCTCGCATCAGCATTCGTTTAAGACGTGATTAAATTAGTTCTGCATGCTGGTCCTTGAATATGTCATTGGTATTAAGGGTAGAGGTGGAGCTTTATCAGGTTTTGAATATAAGTACGTTGCCAGTAAAACAGCTGACGCACCAGCTAAAAATTGTCTAAGAGAGGTGAAAATACAACAGATTTAGTGTAATGTTTCTGATGTTACTCTGAGTGACGATCCACACCGGGCCGGCTGAGAAATTTGCCTGACCACGGTGGGAATCGAACCCGGAACTGAGCAATCTCGTTCCCCCGAGGCTGCGATCCTCTGGAAGGAACGTGAGGCTCTGGGATAATCCGATTCAGGGAGGAATCTGATTGGCCGTTGATATGGAATGCGCAGTTCAATCTTAGCCAGGATTTCTGGCTTCCGGCAACGGATTATCCCAGAGCCTCGCGTTCCTTCCCGAGGACAATCTCGTACCCAGAGCAATGCCTGTGCGCGGGCTAGGAAAGCATTGGCTCTGGGGAAATTGATAACCGGAACCCCTAAATTTAGGGGTTCCGGTTCTTTGTCGGCATGCACTATTGATAAACGTTAAACCAATCACAGCACAGAAAAAATTCAATTTCCCCAGAGCCAATGTCTTCCTTGCCTGCGCACAGGCATTGTTCTGGGAACGAGATTGTCCCGAGGATCGCAAGGTCTGGATATGAGGTATTCTGCAATCTGATTGGTTCTCTACTAGCAGGATATTAGTTCATATCCTGCTAGTACAGAAAAACAAAATGGCGGCTCAAACTAAATTTCTGACGTTTTGTGAACGATAAAACGGCAAGTTGTTCGCTTTGTATAGCCTTTACAGGATTAAAAACACAATGAAAAACTCCCACAAATTGTTTACTAGTTAACAAATGAATTTTTAAAATTTAAAATGGTAAAAAATTATATATATTTTTGAAAAAATAATCGGCTGAAAGAGCGAAAAACATAAACAAAATAGAAAAATATTGAAAATATCCGAAAAGCAAAGTCTGTGAATTCAGACCTTATGTATACAATAAAACAGTTATTCCACTCACTCTCGTCGAATATGAGTGATAATCGACTCGAGTTCGTAGAATAACTGTCAATTAGTATAATTACATAGGTGATTATTGAAAATTCTCCACGCTGATTGGTTGCCGTTGAGGTGATTATTACACGATAATCACCTAAGCGATTTTCAAAATGGCGGCCGAAGCCTTTTTGTCAATTAAATGACGAAGAAATGTGTATTTTCTTATTTTTTTCCAAATAATCACCTATGAAATTATACTAAAACAATTATTCACCTCAGGCTCGGTGATTATCGGGAATAAAAACCTCGACTTCGTCTCGGTTTTTATTCACCGATAGTCACCTCGCCTTCGGCGAATAATTGTTGAATATCAGATCGAGCATATCAAATTCAGTGTATTTTCAAACCAGGTTTTCAAGCTACCTACCCTTATTAAAGGCCTGTTTACACTTGCAATTTCTGCTGCGATTTTAGGTGCGATTTTCTTCTTCTGATGGATGGGAACGAGTGGATAAGTTATGAAAGTTTAGTTGAGGGTACATCACTGAGTCATATAGACCCTTTGCACTGACGTCACAAATCCTTAGAGTGTCCTCCAGATGCTACCTAACAATATCTGTTCGGGTACAACAACCACATACAGCGCAAAAATTAACCATTTTAATACAAAATTATTATAAACCTTTACAAAATTTGCTTTGTTTACAAAAGTTATATTATGCGTAGATTGCTAATTTGTCCTCCAGATGCATCGTTACTGGCGCTGTGACGTCAAGTGCAATGGGTCTATACTCAGAACATTCATAACTTATTTACTCAATCACATCCATCAGAGGAAGAAAATCGCACAAGAAATCGCAGCAAAAATTGCAAGTGTAAACGGGCCTTAACAAAGTAGCTGCATGCATGCATATAAGGTTGTATTGTATTTTATTTACTTAGTACTACCATAGAATCTATTAGGAGCAGCCCTCTCTGGTGCGTTTATAAAAAATTTCTAGCTCTAATACTTTTGACGAGATCTCAGGTAGTCATTTTAGCAAGATCTCGTTTAGGGTGGCTGGTTCTCTTATATTATAAAGGATTTCAAAGCACATATCACTGGGAAAATTGCAATTAGTATGTAAATATGACCTCCATACTATTTCCAACGAAGATCGATCATGCTATTTCCATAGTAAGGATTTTGAAACAAATTTCCAGTGTATGATCTGTCCAGAGAGGGCCAGCTCATGTAAAGCTCATATAACCCTCTTACTCCCTTACCTGTAGCTGCAGAGTGCATGTGCTAGTGTATATTAATCTAGTTAACTTACTTTGACACCTCAAAATCTTGGAGGAAATAATATGATATAACAGAAGATACAATTATTGATATTGACGTTGCGAATCCTTTTAAAATATTGTCTGCATACTTGACAACTGTCGCGATAACCAATCCATTAAATGCCTACAATTAGAAGAAATATTAGTATTTTAGATCTAACATTTCCAACCCTTCAACAAAAAGTCCCCGAAACCAAAATGGTCAGTATCTATATAGGACTGACCATATAGCTAACGGAGTGCATATGGCTAATTTTATGCGCATTTGATCATATACTATAACATGTTAACTTGCGCAACATAAATATTAAATATTCTTATTATTATTTATAGCGGCTTCCTCGTTCCCAGGGCTTCTCGGCTGCCTGATATTGTCATAAGTCAGGCAGCCGAGAAGCCATGGGGACGAGGATATTATAGTGCTAAAAAATTGTCCACCACGCACGCACTCCCTGCCAATTGGCTGTCTCAACTAATATAATATTGCTGAACAATTTTTACACCAAATTTTGCTTGATATAACAGTTCAACTTTTCCGAAGTAGCAAAATGTACGGGCTGCATGAATATTTGGATAAAAACCGAGGAAATTGTACGAAATAAGTCGCATTTTATATTTCGTCTCAACAATAATTTTGTTTCACTTCCATATGTCTGTTTCTATCTTGGCTGTTTCGTTCTATCTTATTTACTTTTAGTACAGAGGTCGTTTGTACTGTACCAAGGCCGGATACTGCTATCCCAGCACCAAATAGTGACTTTTCAACCATTGTAAAAATACCTGAAAAGCTGTAATAGTACGGATATGAACACCACATAAAAAACCTTTAACTTATAAATACTAAACTTTAATCTGAGTTATACCAATTAAAGACTGATTTAACAAACTTGAAAAAAGCACTATCCGGTGGATAGCACTATCCAGCTTTCGTACAACCGGCTCCAGAATAAAAAGTGAATAAATGTTTTTAATATTTTTGCACAAGTAAATATAACAAATCCTACAGGTTGATTGGTCAAATTTGACATATTAAGCTGTTATATTCACCTACAGGTGAATATAACAAAACCGAAATTTTCAAAATGGTGGCTGGCCGTTTGTGGAAGTTACTGATAAAGAAATAAGCGAAATTAAAATAAATTCAGTCCCAAAAAAACACAAACGACTTGTGTAAAAATACTGAAACAATTATTCGCCTCAGGCTCGGTGATTATCGGGGAATATTCACCTCGACTTCGTCTTGATATTTCCCGATAATCACCTCGCCTTCGGCGAACAGTTGTTAAATACCTGTAAAAATACAACGGTCCAAGTATACTTATTGTATCCTTGGAAAAATCCTTTTGTACGAACGGCAGATCCATCATTAATAAAAACAGCACTAAGACCAAGTATTATACCAAATATTGCTGCAAAACAAGAGTAAAGTAAAATAATAAACTCTTTGCTATCGATAGAGTTGTTACTGTGCCAGCGGTGACATCCTGTATCTATATGAACAGGCTTTGTGATTGGCTGATTATAACAATAAAATAAATCATCTTTCCACAGAACGAGTTAGATAAAAAACCCAACACCAGCCGACAATTTCAAAAAGCATAAAATAAAAAGACAAGGATACCTTTTAAAGACCTTGTACAATCTCGTACCCACAGTATGCCCGTACCCAGCAACTAACCTGCGAACGGGCATAATAATCGGGTACGAGATTGCGTACATTGTAACTTTAGTTAGTCTGATGATAATTTTAGAATAAAATAATTGAAATATCACAAACTCATTCTCGTCTTTTGTTAACTTATATCTTGGGTATCAAGATGCTAATCTTCGGATTGTGTTTAATTATTTTATACTAAGTTAAATAAACGCTAACCACTGTCGTTTCAAAAAGCCAATCACAAAACGTGTTCATATTCGGTGGGTAGCTATTGGAATCAGCTAACCTCGAAGACACACCACACAAATGTAAATTCTACACTTCTGTCTGGTGACGTTTTAAATCACGTAAAATTAACATCCCATCAGATATTTGGAAGGGAGTTGTGTGGGCAATGACCTTCATTCTTACCTAATTGAACGTTTCTCATCCACAGAGAAGCGCGAGAGGTTTTTAAAACTTTTTCAAAATATACTCCAGCAAACCCACTTGAGAAACACGCACATAATACCGCAAGAAGACCTACTACAGATTTGGAAATATTTTTTTCTTCAGCACCCTCGTTTACATTTTCTTGTTTACTCGGGTCTTCACTTCGCCACTGCAATGACACAAAGAAATATTACCATTTTTAAGAATTTTAAAAATGAAGTAAAACTGGAAAGATAATTGCACTCGGGGAGGAGGCACAGGAGCTCCCCATATTAAACTGATCATTCTTATACTTCGGTGCAAATACTGTAATTGTGAAAGAAATGCATGCATGCTCTTCTTTATAAATA